TCATAGTTCTAAGAGCGAACAAACATTTTGGTTACATCCTTGACTCAGGTGACACCATTGGGCTTTGCAGAATACCGGGCACCAACTCCCATGGTCACAGCTGCCTTCTGCATGGGTGCCATGGATGCGCCACCATGCCCTGCAGATGTAGAAGGAGTCAGGTGCATGAAGGGCACCGAGACCGACGGTGGTGGTCATGGGAATGGTTTCCCTTTTTTGTCACTGTTGGTCAAGTCACTTGGATGAACATTTCTCCTCACCTTGACAGGCAATGAAATGCAACCATGTCTGGATGACGATCTCAACCCCTCTTGTGAAAAAGAGACTAGCACTGCAGTGTTGGAGATCAGGACGCTTTTCCGTTTGACACGAGACTTGCTTTCAAAATGAGACTCTTTGCCTGCAGATTTCATGCTTGGAGCCCTGGATATGGACTGGCCGAGTACTTGGAGCTGCCGCTTGCAAAGGTCTTAAAGCGCCTCGGAGTTTTTAGCGGAATCCATCATGTAATATGTTCTAACAGGCCTTGAAATGTGTTTTTTTCACCAACAGCGAAGCTTAGGGGTCTTAAGCCATAGCAAAGAGTTCGGAGCAGGTCCCGCAGCAGGTCCCGCAGCAGGTTCCAGAGCAGGTTCTGGAACAAGTTTCGGAGCAGGTTCCAGAGCGCAGAGCAGGTTCAGGAGCAAGTTCCTGAGCAAGTTGGGGAGCAGGCGCCCGAGCAGGTTCTGGAGGAGGTTGCAGAGGAGATTCCATAGCTTCCGTACGCTGACATGATTCGTGTTGTCGCGCTGATGTGCTGGTGTGGCATCACGCTGAGATGCTGAAATCGGGTCACGCGGTCAGCCTGCTTGCTTGTTTTTGCTGGTAGTGGCGCTGTGGTGCTTGCGCATATGTGGGGACATTGAAAAGACTCATGCTGCTTTGAAGCCAACATTGTTTGGAAAGGACACGCCACTTGTTGGCAAAGTTGCGACTTTGCCACTGCCTAGTAGGCCGATGTTGACGCCCAGCTTTTGTTTTCGGGAGCTTCCTTCAAGAAGCGCTCGCACTATTCACGTGGTTCCTAGATTGTGGCAGAGAAAACACTTTTGAGGTTTGCGGCTGATGCCTTTGCGCAGGCTGCTCGTGGATCATCATTTGCACTGATCGTGGAGTCCGCTTCTTGTTTGCGCTTTGCGTTCCCAAGTGCCAAACGATGGAGGCTCCAAAAACCACGAGGTCAAAACGCAACACCAAGCATGTGCATGGCGAAATTGATGCGAACTGGGTTCTGCTCAGGTGAAGTTGATGCCAGTAACACGCGCTTTGGAAACGTTCGGGGCGGGCTCTATTCTGTCCTCCCTTTCCGATCCTTTGGAGGTGCTGGTGGAGAGCAGTTGGTCTTGAAACCTTATCTTTTCATCGATGTCGATGTCCTTTGGCAGTCCCACTAGGATGTTTACTTTTTTCAAGGCATCATTGTTATGATTCGATGGTAAAATTTTGCTTAGACCTGTCTGTTTATTTTCCAGTAGGGTGCCTGTGGCGAGGCGTTGGTGGCCAGCAAGCTTTTAAGGAAACGCGTGGAGGTGCTTTGTGGTACCAAGCTCCTGGAGCGAAGAAAACGCTGATACCAAAGCGCTCTGAAGTGTACGGAAGATATGGAAAAACGAGAGAGATTGTAAGCAAGTTCAACCATTATTTTTCTGCTCTAGAACGTGGGCTCCTGAATGAAGATCAGTTGGAACCATTTGTCGGGGTCCTTTCAGAGTCTGCTTGCAGAAGCACTCTCTCTCAGATGGGGCAGTGGAAACTAGCATCACGCACACGCATATCTTCCGCAGGACTACCTTAATCAGCTCTCTTTGGATTCCCTCAAGTCCTTTGATGCTGTGTGGCTAGGCTACTTGGCAAGAGTTAATCCAGAGAGCTGACCTTTTTCCTTGCAAACAGACATGGCGAATCATAAGGAAGTTTAAGAGTTCAGATTTTGCAAATAAATCTACCCGCAAACACTTGCTTTTGCAAGTATTGTTTCCAGTTGAACCACAGTGTTTCTATTCCTTGTGAGCGAGGGTATGATGGCGGCAGAGCAATGACATCAGCTTCGCACTTTGGCAGCAACTGAGACAGAGATCAGGACTATTCAGGGTGTCCCCAATTTACTAGATGCCTTACATACTTAATTTTACCGAAGTCTTATGAATGAGAAGCGGCTGCCAAGCACCACAAAGAAGTGAAGCGATCATTTACGGGAAGCGGATATGCAGAAATGGAGCAAGGCTTCATGGTTGCAGCGAATGGTCTCACCTGAACGCGCTGCTCTCCTTGCGACTCCTGTCTGAAAATGCGCTCCTGGCTGCGACTGGGACGTTGAATCTGAGGGACAGTCGGTCCTAGGACTTTTAGCTGTGTGACGTGCTTACTTTGCCAGTGATCGAAACAGCCCTTGCTTGTCGACTAGTGAGTGCATACAAATCAGTGCTAGCGGAATTTTTACCGCCCAGAAAAACATCCAGAAAAACATGGATGTTTTGGAGATGGACGACTTCAGCACAGTGCCTCGATTCCGAGGGTTCAGATGTCATTCGGTTCAAATTACACATGCATACAGAAGAAACCCTTCTACGTTGCTACACAATGCGAGCGACTGAGAGTGGGGTGGGGGTTGGGGTGGGGAAG